TTTCACACTTAAGCCACTAGCTTTTTAAATCTCTCAAACCAACCTTTGCTGTCCTTAAATTCACCACATCATCCAAAATTTCAGGGATTTTTCTAATTAAATCCTGATCAACTTTCCAGCCTTTCACTTATGATCCTTGAGAGATGCTATCCCTGCTACTGTTTTTTTATTACCACACCAAAAAGATTCTAACATCTTCTATCACTTTCGATCTCGTTTCGAAACACAGTTTCCCTTGGCAAGAACCTTCCTTTATTTCCGTTTTCTTGGAACAATAGTAGCGTGGTTTATTGGGGTTTACTTTCAAACCCGGCCCCCTCGGGGACAAAAGTTCCACTTTCAACTTAGCAATATCTCTTTCTTTTTATCTTTAGTAATTCTCACCCTTTTTCCTGTAGGTTGGGACTAGAAGCTTTTTTGGGGCCCCTGTCACTTATTTTGCCCATGAAAACACCAAAAAAAGTGTAATAATACAAATGTTCCTTGTTGCTTGGATGTTACCGTGGAGGCTGGCTTGTAAAAAAATGCCACCGGAATATTAGGGTGGCTCAGGCTGCACAAGACGTGCTCGGGGGAATAGCGCTGAGTGGTTTTTTTTGCCCCCATAACAAAATTTTAGCATTTAAAAGTATTTCTATGCGGGTTTAACGTTTTGTGATGCCAACGGTATGGGGGGGTCCACGACTTGAACATCTGCCACATGGGCCCCCCCTCCACTCTAAACCAAAAAATGCAATGAAAACTTCCCTACCTTTATCTAAATACTTCCATATAGCTTTTAAAGTAAAAGAGATTACAATCCCCCACCACTCTAAAAACCTCCTTGCTCCCGCAAACCCCATTCTGGGCTACCTAATTTTTCAATAAAACCCACCATACACTTTTCCTGGGATACTCATAAAATTTTTCCCCTATAATTTTTACAACTTTTTTTTTCCCCCTTCCCATATAAAGAAAAATACATGCCTCTGCCAATCCCTAGGTACCTTCCCCTCTTTCATACATTTATTAACAAAAATACCAATCACTCTAACACTATATCCACCCCTGATTTTAACATTTCTGTCATGATCCCATCAGTTCCAGCTGCTTTACCCTCTTTCAATCTATGTAATGCTTCACACACCTCCCCCACACTCACATCACGCTCTTCTTCACTCCTAAACGATGGTATACCTCCCTACCTAGTGCATGAAATTACCGCCTCCCTTTCTTCATCACAGTTCCTCAAAACATTCCCGCCATCTACCCCAATACCTCCATCTCCCCATCTACTAACTCCCCTACTCTGTTTTTAACTGACAAATCCATTCGTTCCCTAGGGTTTCTTAACTTGTTTAACTCACTCCAATTTTTTTTTTTCCTATTTTCATCAAAATTTCTTGATAAGTGCCTCTCCCTCCTTTTACTCTCTCACTACTCTCTTTACCTTTCTTTTACTCTCCATATACTCTGCTCTTCTTATAACACTTCTGCTTTGTAAAACCCTCTCATAAGCTACCTTTTTCTCTTTTATCACACTCTTTACTTCATCATTCCACCAATCACTCCTGTTTCCTCCTGCACCCACCCTCCTACAGCCACAAACATCTGCCCCACATTCTAACACTGCACTTTTAAAACTGTTAAAACCCTCTTCAACCCCCACTACTCATACCTGCACTAGTCCACCTTTCTGCCAATAGTTGCTTATATCTCACCCAAACTTCCTCCTCCCTTAGTCTATACACTTTCACCTCTCTCTTACTTGCTGTTGCCATTTTCTTCTTGTCCCATCTACCTCTTACTCTATCTGTAGCTACAACTAAATAAAGATTTGATATATCAGTTGCCCCTCTATAAAATGTATCTGTTGGAGTGTGAGCAGGGTAATATTTAGTGAAGGGATTCAGGGAAACCAGTTATTTTCTTATAGTCGGACTTGAGTCCTGGAAATGGGAAGTACAATGCCTGCACTTTAAAGGAGGGGTTTGGGATATTGGCAGTTTGGAGGGATATGTTGTGTATCTTTATACGTATATGCTTCTAAACTGTTGTATTCTGAGCACCTCTGCAAAAGCAGTGATAATGTGTGAGTGTGGTGAAAGTGTTGAATGATGATGAAAGTATTTTCTTTTTGGGGATTTTCTTTCTTTTTTGGGTCACCCTGCCTCGGTGGGAGACGACCGACTTGTTGAAAAAAAAAAAAAAAAAAAATGTATTACTTAGTACCAAACCCCTTTCTAAACATTGCTCAATTAAAGGCTCCCCATTTTCATTTACCCCTGGCACCCCAAATTTACCTACTACTCCCTCCACAACATTTTTACCCACTTTAGCATTGAAATCCCCAACCACACGTACTCTCACACTTGATTCAAAATTCCCCACACACTCACTCAACATTTCCCAAAATCTCTCTTTCCTGTACACTTCTTTCGTCTCCAGGTGCATATACGCTTACTATAACCCACCTTTCATATCTAACCTTATTTTACTCCACATAATCCTTGAATTAATACAGTTATACTCCTTTTTCTGCCATAGCTTATCCTTCAACATTATTGCTACTCCTTCTTTAGCTCTAACTCTACTCGAAACCCCTGACCTAATCCCATTTATTTCTCCCCACTGAAGCTCTCCCACCCCGTTCAGCTTTGTTTCACTTAAAGCCAGGATATCCAGCTTCTTCTCATTCATAACGTCCACAGTCATCTCTTTCTTATCATTCGCACAACATCCACACACATTCAAACATCCCACTTTGACAATTTTCTTCTTTTTCTTTTTAGTAGGCTATACAGGAAAACGGGTTACTAGCCCATTGTTCCCGGCATTTTAGTTGACTTTTACAACACGCATGGCTTATGGAGGAAAGAGTCTTATTCCACTTCCCCATGGATACAAAAGGAAAAGTAATAAGAACAAGAACTATTAAGATAAAATGAAAGAAAACTCAATTTTTTTTTTTTCCCAACAAGTCGGCCATCTCCCACCGAGGCAGGGTGACCCAAAAAAAGAAAGAAAATCCCCAAAAAGAAAATACTTTCATCATCATTCAACACTTTCACCACACTCACACATTATCACTGTTTTTGCAGAGGTGCTCAGAATACAACAGTTTAGAAGCATACACATATAAAGATACACAACATATCCCTCCAAACTGCCAATATCCCAAACCCCTCCTTTAAAGTGCAGGCATTGTACTTCCCATTTCCAGGACTCAAGTCCGACTATATGAAAATAACCGGTTTCCCTGAATCCCTTCACTAAATATTACCCTGCTCACACTCCAACAGATCGTCAGGTCCCAAGTACCATTCGTCTCCATTCACTCCTATCTAACACGCTCATGCATGCTTGCTGAAAGTCCAAGCCCCTTGCCCACAAAACCTCCTTTACCCCCTCTCTCCAACTCTTTCGAGGACGACCCCTACCCCGCCTTCCTTCCCATGTAGATTTATATGCTTTCCATGTCATTCTACTTTGATCCATTCTCTCTAAATAACCAAACCACCTCAACAACCCCTCTTCTGCCTCTGACTAATACTTTTTAACTCCACACCTTTTCCTAATTTCCACACTCCGAATTTTCTGCATAATATTTACACCACACATTGCCCTTAAACAGGACATCTCCCCTGCCTCCAACCGTCTCCTCGCTGCTGCATTTAACCACCCAAGCTTCACACCCATATAAGAGTGTTGGTACTATTATACTTTCATACATTCCCTTCTTTGCCTCCATAGATAACGTTTTTTGACTCCACATATCCCCTCAACGCACCACTCACCTTTTTTCCCTCATCAATTCTATGATTAACCTCATCCTTCTAAATCCATCCGCCGACACGTCAACTCCCAAGTATCTAAAACATTCACTTCTTCCATACTCCTCCTCCCCAATTTGATATCCAATTTTCTTTAATCTAATCATTGACACCTCATCACCTACTCTTTTCTATGTTCACTTTCAACTCTCTACCTTTACACACATTCCCAAACTCATCCACTAACCTTTGCAATTTTCTTTAAATCTCCCATAAGCACAGTATCATCAGCAAAAAGTAACGTGTCAATTCCCATTTTGAATTTGATTCCCCAAAATTTAATCCCACCCCTCTCCCGAACACCCTAGCATTTACTTCCTTTACAACCCCATGTATAAATATATTAAACAACCATGGTGACATTACACATCCCTGTCTAAGACCTACTTTTACCGGGAAGTAGTCTCCCTCTCTTCTACACATCCTAACCTGAGCCTCACTATCCTCATAAAAACTCTTTACAGCATTTAATAACTTACCACCTATTCCATATACTTGCAACATCTGCCACATTGCTCCTCTATCCACTCAAATGAGTGTATATAAATAAATGTGTACATGTATGTGTAGTGTGGTCTATATGTAAGTAGAGGTAGCAAGACGTATCTGTAATCTTGCATGTTTATGAGACAGACCAAAGACACCAGCAATCCTACCATCATGGAAAACAATTACAGGCTCCCGTTTTACACTCACTTGGCAGATGGTAGTACCTCCCTGGGTGGTTGCTGTCTACCAACCTATCTAATTTTATGCCTTTGTAGAGAGTACAGATTCAGGGCCCTCAGTCTATCCTCATAGGGAAGATTTCTGATACATGGGATCAACTTTGTCATCCTTTGTATGTTTTCCAGTGCATTTATATCCATTCTGTAATACGGTGACCAGAACTCTGCAGCATAATCTAAAAGAGGCCTAACCAAAGATATACAGAGTTGAAGAACAACCTGAGGACCTCTATTATTTATACTTCTTGATATGAAGCCAAGGATTCTGTTAGCTTTGTTACAAACACTTATGCACTGTTTTGGTTTCAGATTACTACTAACCAAAACTCCTAAATCCTTTTCTGCAATCAGTAATATTAAGATCTACATTATTTAGTTTATATGTGGCATGGTTATTTTCATAAACAACAATATTTTACCTAAATAAATAAAACATGGTACAGAACTTTAAGATATTTACATTTGCTTGAGAAATATTGGCTTGCATTACTGGATCTACCGATGAGAAGAGATCAGTATCCCAGGTTTGTTGCCGCAACCATGGAGCCAGAGGAAGAATGTGGCCCTCTGTAGTGAACATGTACCTCTGGGAGTTTAAGTTTACTGGATTATCTACATCAAACAACTGTGGAAAGAAAAGCATATTTATTTTTAAGACCATGACCATCTGCCATGGCAGGGTGACTCCACAGAAGAAAACACATTCACCAACATTTACTCAATCACTGTCTTTCCCGAAGTGTGTTGACATTATGATAAGAGTGCAGACACTGCCCTTCCCACCTCCAGGACAAAAGTCTGGCTAACTGATTTCTGTGAATACTTTCATAAAAGTTACCCTGCTAACATCCAAACAGCACGTCCATTAAAAACAAGTCTCCATTCACTCCAATCTTAAGATATTTACACACAAGCCTGCTGGATGTTCAAGTCCCCCAAAATTCAAAACCTACTGTACTCCCTCTGTCCAACTATTCCTGGAATGACCCTCCCCCTTCCTACCTTTTGCCCCAGATTTATACACCCTCTTCATCAACCTATCCTTATCCATCCACTTTACATACCTAAATCACTCAACAACCTCTCCTTAGATCTCTGAATCATACATACTCTTGACCACTTCGCATTGCCGTTCAATTTCTAAGATTCGGATTCCTGCATGATATTCACACCACACATTGCTTTCAAACACTGCAGTATTCAAAACCCATGCCTGAAACCCATATAAAAGTGGAGTAATGCTATTCTCTGGTATATTCCCATTTTTGACTCCACAGATAAACTTCTTTCTTTTCACAGATATTCCAACACACTGCCTACCTTTCTCCACTTCCAGATATCTAAATACATTCACTTCTTACATACTCCCTCCCTCCAATCTTGACAACGATATTGCCTTGACATTTTGTTACCATCGTCACCTTGCTCTTTGCAGTGTTCACTTGTAATTTCCCTGTACATACTCTCACAAATTCACCCACCAACCTTTGTAAATTGTTTTCAGAATCCCCTTAAGGAACTGCATCATCAGTAAAGTGCAACTGCCATAACTCCTACTATATCAGATCCAGCATCTTTCAATCCCCCACCCATTCCCAACACAACCCATTTTTTTTTTTTAACACATTGGCCACTTCCTACCAAGGCAGGGCGACCGAAAAAGAAAGAAAACCCCAAAAAGAAAGAAAAACTTTCATTATCACTTGTACATAATCACTATCTTTGCAGCAACCCTCAGATATGACAGTTTAGATGACCCTCCAAACTGTCAATATCCCAAACCCCTCCTTTAGAGTCCAGGCATTGTACTTCCCATTTCCAGGACTCAAGTCCGGTTAACTGGTTTCCCTGAATCCCTTCACAAAATATTACCCTGCTCACACTCCAACAGCTCGTCAGGTCCCAAAAACCTTTCGTCTCCATTCACTCCTATCTAACACGCTCGTACATGACTGCTGTATGTCCAAGCCCCTTGCCCACAAAGCCTCTTGTACTCCATCCCTCCAAACCAACTCAACACCCCCTCTATCAGCCCCTTGACTCAAAATCCCCCCTTTTTGTAAACATCCACACCTCCTCCTAATTTCCACACTACGAATTTTCTGCATAATATTTACACCACTCATTGCCCTTAGACAGGACATCTCCACTGCCTCCTCGCTGCAGCATTTACAATCCATGTTTCACAGCCATATAAGAGCATTGGTACCACCGTACTCTCGTACATTCCCTTCTTTGCCTCCATGGATAACGTTTTTTTGTCTCCACAGATACTTCAATGCACCACTCACCGTTTTCCCTTCATCAAGTCTATGGTTAACCTCATACTTCATAAACCCATCCGCTGACAAGTCAACTCCCAAATATCTGAAAACATTCACTTCTTCCATACTCCTCCCTCCAATGTGATATCCAATTTTTCTTTATCTAAATTGTTTGATACCCTCATCACCTTACTCTTACCTATGTTCACTTTCAACTTTCTACCTTTACACACACTCCCAAACTCATCCACTAACCTTTGCATTTAACATTAAACCACAGTGACATCACACATCCCTGGCTAAGTCCTATTTTGACTGGAAAATAACTGTCCTCCTTCCTACATACCCTAACAATTAAGATATGTAGGAAAGTTAGGGCCTAACCTGAGTCTCACTCTGCATAAAACTATGAACTGATTTTAATAACCTACTTTCTATTCCACACATTTGCAATGTATCATGTGCTTTTTCTAAACCTATAATGCAACAAACAACTTCTTACCCTTATCTTATTGCTGGCCACTTACATATTTAGAAATGTCTAAATACAATGTTTTAAATACTGAAATGTTATTCACTCCTACAAGAATGTTGGGAGCTTGTTTTCCAATTTTAGTATTATTTTCTTTTTAAATTTTCATAATTTCATGAAAATTGATACTTTTGATCTCTGAAAGTACAGTACTAACAAAAATTACTAAAAAATGGAGGGATTTTATTGTATTGTGGGATGATGCAGGATAAAGAAATAAAACTTAATACAAGCTAAACAAAGTACCTGGTAAAGTAAGTTGATTCTACAAATTCTTGGTTTACACTTTCCCTACCTAAATCAAGATAAGTATATATATGATCTGGCCAGTAAGTGACAATGTTACCAATAAGAAATAGTTGTACCCTGTGGCCTAAAAAATCTTGCCAAGCTACAGGCTTCCTGTCCCTAGCATGTTATGGCCAAAAACAATATAGGAGGTGTCAGTGTACAAGTAATTGCCTTCTATTAGTACACTGGTACTGTAAATTGAAAATTATATGAAAACTAAAAAAATATGCTGGATGACAGTTACTTCAAAGGATACTTTTATCACAGAACAGGATCTGTTGTGCTTTTTAATCAGTCAAACAAAGGGGACTGTCCTAAAATTAAATCGTTTCAAAAACTTTACCATGTGTATTGGTAAGTATATTTTTGTGAACTAACATGGTATATAAATTGTTAATTTTGCATCAAAATTAGCTGAACGTAACCTATCCGTGTTAAAATTTATGTACTATAGTTAAATCCCATCCACTCAATCTTAAGTCAGAATAAATTTAAGTAATATTATTTAAAACTTAATTAGTATTATTATTTAAAACCAATGAAGTATATTGATTTTGTGATGATCAGACTGATTTTCATTCAATTATTTCAACAATTAATTTACACTGCTTGTTGGCAAAATCATAATTGTATATATCACACACTACTTAAAAAGCATAATGTATCCATTACTCTTGGTTTATCTTTCAAGAGAATATACCAAAAACCTTAAAAACCTACCAAGTACAGGTATTTGCAGGTCTCAGAAAGGAAAAAGGATTCCATACGGTCCTCGAGAGTCATATCTAATACAGAATGAATAGTGGCATAGCCACACTGGGCTTTAGTTAAGTTGTTGAGAGAAGTCAATATATCTCGACCAACATGTAGGTAGAATGGGTTTCTTGTTGCCTGTTGATACAAATTTTATTCAGAATCATTTGCAATTATTTAGCATACAAGTTATTTAAAAATACCCATAAGTTTTGCCAGTTTCTGAATTTTGTATGTTTCTGTGATTAAATAACGAGAACACCATTTCTTAAAATCCCTAATGCAATACAGTACTTACATAAATAGTGTAATTATATTATTTTTTTACATGGTACAGTACTTATGTAAATAAAGTGTACGTAATTATTTTTTATGTGGTACAGTACCTATGTAAATGAATTTTAATTATTTTTACGCAGTACAGTACTTACGTATGTAAAGCGTAATCATTTTTTATGTGGTACAGGTCCACCACCACAAATCCAGCAGTCAGACATCCAGTTCCATCAGTTATTCAGCACTAATTTTGGCTAGCATAATTTCAAATTTCCAGGGTCACCACACCAACCTGCTGCTACTGTTTGATGTACTTCCTGCATAAGTCATTCCAGTTTCTTTTTCTCCATTTATTGTTATAACCTGCTTACTTTTAGCCCTAGCCATGGTTCCAACAAATAAAAGAAATGCTTCTCATTGTTCAGATCACCTATGCATTACATTGTCCATTAAAGATAAGGTGGCTATGAAGCCACTGTCGGTTGCTATGAGCTCAGTCTCGTGATGCAAGGGAATATGCTTTATTATTATGTTAATATCAACACTACGGCTTATTTGCCTATCACAATTGATCTAATATGACACAATAAACAATATAAATAACATAAAAACATGTTAAATACTCCAGAATGAATAATATTTGGCATAATACTGAGCAGTTCGATGGAGGTATGAAGAAGATATGGGATACAAGTACCATTGTATTGTGCCAAAACAAAAGCATTCACATTGCTAAACTCACAAATTATGATGTAGTCACTTAGCCTTAATACCATAATCTGTAAGGATTTAATGTTAAGAATTAATCTAAGTCTGCTCGAAATGCCAAAGCCATGCTAGGTGTCCTAGTGGCCCCCTCTGTAATTAGTATTTTATAACATGTAAACCACACAATACCCAAAACCTGTAAACCCCACATTGTAACCCTTATAGAGAATAAACCTGAATTGAACTGAATATAATTGAATTCTCCTATCCTTGTCTCAGGGGGTTATATTAGAGAAAACGGAGCATAGAACAAGGCTAACTATGATCTACACTTGTACTGCACCATAAAACTGAAACAAAAAAGCTATTTTCTCTACACAGATTATCACACATAGCAACATGTGTAGAGAACCTAGGATAACACAAAAAAAAGTCAGACAAAGTGGCTTATTCTAGTACCAGGCTTGGGCTAGCCAAAAATGATTTTTGGTAAATATTCGATTCCCAGCCAGGGTAGAAACATTGGCCATGTTTCTTTACACCTGTTACCTATGTTCACCCATCAGTAAATGGGTACCTGGGTGTTAGTGGACTGGTGTGGGTCTTATCCTGGGACACTGACCTAATCTGCCTGAAATGCTTAGCACAACAAGGGCTTTCTATATAGTAGTATGTCACTGGTGTCAGCTAGGCCTGCATACCATGTACATGTACATGTAGTAAATAAAGATCTTCTTTCTTTCTTTCAACACACCGGTTGTATCCCACCAAGGCGGGGTGGCCCAAAAGGAAAAATGAAAGTTTCTCCTCTTACATTTAGTAATATATACAGGAGAAGAGGTTACTAGCCCCTTGCTCCCGGCATTTTAGTCGCCTCTTACAACACGCATGGCTTACGGAGGAAGAATTCTGTTCCACTTCCCCATGGAGATAAGAGGAAATAAACAAGAATAAGAACCAGAAAGAAAATAGAAGAAAACCTAGAGGGGTGTGTATATATATGCTTGTACATGTATGTGTAGTGTGACCTAAGTGTAAGTAGAAGTAGCAAGATGTACCTGAAATCTTGCATGTTCATGAGACAGAAAAAAGGACACCAGCAATCCTACCATCATGTAAAACAATTACAGGCTTTCGTTTTACACTCACTTGGCAGGACGGTAGTACATACCTCCCTGGGCGGTTGCTGTCTGCCAACCTACTACCTAGGAGTAAATGAAGATATTATTATTATTATTATTATTATTATTATTATTATTATTATTATTATTATTAACCTACTACCTAGGAGTAAATAAAGATATTATTATTATTATTATTTAACAAGTTGGCCATCTCCCACTGAGGCAGGGTGAGCCAAAATGAAAGAAAATCCCCAAAATGAATATATTTTCATCATCATTCAACACTTTCACCTCACTCATACATAATCACTGTTTTTGCAGAGGTGTCCAGAACACAACAGTTTAGAAGCATATGTATGTATAAAGATACAGAACATATCCTTCCAAACTGCCAATATCCCAAACCCCTCCTTTAAAGTGCAGGCATTGTACTTCCCATTTCCAGGACTCAAGTCCAGCTATGTAAAAATACCCGGTTTCCCTGAATCCCTTCACTAAATATTACCCTGCTCACACTCCAACAGCTCATCAGGTCCCAAGTAACATTCGTCTCCATTCACTCCTATCTAACACGCTCGTGCATGCTTGCTGGAAGTCCAAGTCCCTTGCCCACAAAACCTCCTTTACCCCCTCCCTCCAACTTTTTCTAGGACAAACCCTAACCCGCCTTCCTTTCCCTACAGATTTATACGCTCTCCATGTCATTCAACTTTGATCCATTCTCTCTAAATGACCAAACCACCTCAACAACCCTTCTTCAGCCCTATGACTAATACTTTTATTAACTCCACACCTCCGAATTTCCACACTCCAAATTCTCTGCATAATATTTACACCACACATTGCCCTTAGACAGGACATCTCCACTGCCTCCAACTGCCTCCTTGCTGCAGCATTTACAACCCAAGCTTCACGCCCATATAAGAGTGTTGGTACTACTATACTTTCATACATTCCCTTCTTTGCCTCCACAGATAATATTTTTTGTTTCCACATATACCTCAATGCACCACTCACCTTTTTTCCTTCATTAATTCTATGGTTAACCTCATCCTTCATACATCCATCTGCTGACGTGTCAACTCCCATATATCTGAAAACATTCACTTCTTCCATACTACTCCTCTCCAATTTGATATCCAATTTTTCTTTATCTAAATCATTTGATACCCTCATCACCTTACTCTTTTCTATGTTCACTTTCAACTTTCTACCTTTACACACTCTCCAAAACTCGTCCACTAACCTTTGCAACTTTTCTTTAGAATCTCCTATAAGCACAGTATCATCACCAAAAAGTAGCTGTGTCAAATCCCATTTTGTATTAGATTCCCCATAATTTAATCCCACCCCTCTCCCCAACACCCTAGCATTTACTTCTTCTACAACCCTATCTACGAATATATTAAACAACCATGATAACATTACACATCCCTGTCTAAAACCCACCTTTACCGGGAAGTAGTTTCTCTCTCTTCTACACACCCTAACCTGAGCCTCACTATCCTCATAAAAACTCTTTACAGCATTTAGTAAGTTACTACCTATTCCGCATACTTGCAACATCTGCCACATTGCTCCCCTATACACTATCATATGCCTTTTCTAAATCCATAAATGCAATGAAAACGTCCCTACCTTTATCTAAATACTGTTCACATATATGCTTCAATGTAAACACTTGATCTACACATCCCCTACCCACTCTAAAACCTCCTTGCTCATCTGCAATCCCACATTCTGTCTTATCTCTAATTCTTTCATAACCCTACCATACACTTTTTCATACTCAATAAACTAATTCCTCTATAATTTTTACCATCTCTTTTGTCCCCCTTCCCTTTATATAAAGGGACTATACATGCTCTCTGTCAATCCCTAAGTACCTTTTCCTCTTTCATACATTTATTAAACAAAAATACCAACCACTCCAACACTATATCACCCCCCCCCCCCTGCTTTTAACATTTCTGTCATGATCCCGTCAGTTCCAGCTGCCTTACCCCGTTTCATTCTACGTAATGTCTCACATACCTCACCGACACTCACATCCTGCCCTTCTTCACTCCTAAAAGATGGTATACCTCCCTGGCCAGTGCATGAAATTACCGCCTCCCTTTCTTCATCGACATTTAAAAGTTCCTCAAAATGTTCCCACCATCTACCCAATACCTCCATCTCCCCATCTACTAACTCCCCTACTCTACTTTTAACTGACAAATCCATTCATTCCCTAGGCTTTCTTATGTCAATCCAAATTTTTTTCTTATTTTCATCAAAATTTCTTGACAGTGCCTCTCCCACTCTATCATCTGCTCTCCTGTTACACTCGCCACTCTCCTCGCCTTTCTTTTACTCTCCTTATACTCTGCTCTTCTTATAACACTTCTGCTTTGTAAAAAAAACCTCTCATAAGCTACCTTTTTCTCTTTTATCACACTCTTTGCTTCATCATTCCACCAATCACTCCTCTTTCCTCCTGCACCCACCCTCTTATAGCCACAAACTTCTGCCCCACATTCTAATACTGCATTTTTAAAACTATTCCAACTCTCTTAAACCCCACTACTCATACTTGCACTAGCCCACCATATTGCCAAATGTTGCTTATGTCTCACCCGAACTTCCTCCTCCCTTAGTTTATACACTGTCACCTCTCTTACTTGTTATTGCCATTTTCCTTTTGTCCCATCTACCTCTTACTCTAACTGTAGCTACAACTAAATAATGATCCGATATATCAGTTGCCTTCTATAAACATGTACATCCTGAAGCTTACCCATCAACCTTTTATCCACCAATATATAATCTAACAAACTACTTTCATTACGTGCTACATCATACCTTGTATATTTATTTATCCTCTTTTTAATAAAATATGTATTACTTATTACCAAACCTCTTTCTACACATAGCTCAATTAAAGACTCCCCATTTTCATTTACCCCTGGTACCCCAAATTTACCTACTACTCCCTCCACAACATTTTTACCCACTTTAGCACTGAAATCCCCAACCACAAGTACTCTC